ATGTTTCAGGCTTACACCACATACACCTCAATTGTCGGAGACCTTGGCTGATAAATACACAGGGGCAGATGGTCTACTCCATCAATGAGACAGCCATGAAATGCAGTTGTCTTCACCCAGATTGCTATGTAAAAGTTGCTTTTGGCCATTCTGGTTTCTCACCAATCTTCTCTCAGCTGTGCACCCTTCTGCCCTGCACAAGACAGTCTTCAGTTTTACTACAGTGTAACAGGAAGTCTGCCTTTCATCCACCCAGGTTGACCTACTAGTTTCTACGGTGGTCAGAATGGGATGCATGCTAAGTGACAGCTTGCTCCTCACTGTTTGTGAAGATTGGATTGGGTGACTAAACCCAGGGGATATGTTTAACACACTGCCTCATGAATAGCTGTTCTCCCTCTCATCCCCATCAACTTCTCCTCATCTTCCTGTGAAGGATTCTTCCTGAGGAGACAACACAAGAGAACTTCATGGCATATGGGAAACAGAACTAGAAAAGAAAGAAAATGACTAAATTTTGGTTGGGAAAATGGTAATTTTATTTATAGCATTCTTCAAAAATACTCTCTTTCCTATGCCAGTCCCATTTTGTAACATACAAGACCTTCTGATCTGAGAAGAAATGGTGGTGATTAAGAGGGAAATGACAGAGCCTTCCAGTACTAGGTACATTTATCTATGTGAACTGTTCCCCACTTAAATCTTTTCATTGCCTTTAAAAAAATCTTGTGTGTTGGGGGATGCCTGTGCTATGGAACTTGCGTGGAGGTCAGAGGACAACTTGTGGAGTTAGTACTCTTCTTCACAGACTGACCAGGTCTTCAGGCTTGTGGGCAAGGGGCTTTAGCTGCTAAATTATCTTGTGGGGTCTTAATCCTCACCTTCTTCTGCAACCTTGAGAGATAGCCTCAAGAATTTCATCTGGCCTTGGGCTGGAATGAGGTTGATAAGTTTTCAGAGTCTGGTAGCATTGCAGGTGAACAATTTTAAAGTGTCTTCTAGAAGTGTCTAAGGTCTGGCAGGAGGCCTTGAGTACCACAATCCTATGACGAATATATGAGATCAAAGGTGTATTAGATCACATGGCTGCTACTCAGATGTGGTTCTCAAGATCCCAGAGGAATACAAAATAGAGGAGTGATAATCACCAGTGTGCAGAGCTTTCACGTCTGTTCTAACAGATGGCATCTTTAGCTACCTGCAAAGACTAGATTTCCCTTCATTGTCATTGCTGCAACAACCACATGTCATGTTCATTCAGCATCTAGCTGTTACCTCCACTTTGAATCTGAACAGTACCAGGTGGTTAGTTTCAACCGAGAGAATATGAGCAGAATGAAGTGTCGTTCCTTGTCAACGACAGTGAAAAGATCTCAGCTCCCAGCATTCTTCTCTCTGCTATGGTTATCATTTGGTAATGTTTAGATAGGTGAGATGCAAGAAGCACCCTGGCTTCCTAAGGTAAGATTTTGAAGAATGGTGAGACCATAGAGAAAATAACTTTCTTATTAAGTCAAGGATGATTTAAGGTTCATTTGTTATCACCACAGAGCCTTATAAATCCTTAAAAGCATAAGCCCCAGAATGTGCAGCTCTGAAACAGTGATGAGAAGGATGCCTTAAAGTTGGCAGAGTACAATCTAAGAAGAATCTTATATTTTTCAGCTCATGTTTTCTACTCCTAAATAATCTGGTGATTTACAAAAGATATTTTTAAAGAAATATATGCAGTTGTATTCATTGCCTACCAGACTTAAAGTATGAAGAAAAAGCATATCCTGGTGACCATTCAGTATTACTATGTAGGATAGCTGTATTATTTCAAGAGGGATAAAGTACTAACACTAACAAAAACTCACAAAGGGATAAAGTGTATCTTAGATGTGACACTTCTCATGTGTCATAGCTTTTTAAAACTTCTTCATTTGTCACAAGGGGAAAATACTAGTACCTAACCAGTAGGATTATAGGCAATGTAGCAAAAGACAACACAGATACAGACAAGGATTTTAACAGACAACCGTCTTACAAATGCACACAACTAGTCAACTAATTTCTGTTATTTTTATGTTGTCATAGAGGCAGCTCCTGCAACTCTACACGAGCATAATAATTTTACACTAAGTAACTGCAAGACGATTCTCTATGTCCTGTAATAAACAAGCAATAACATTAAATGCCATGTAAGCTGACTAGGATAAAATATAAAGTCTTAGTTGTCAGAGTATCTTTGATATGTAAGTATCTCTTGCAACAGGACTCATTGGTCAGCTAATAGAAGATAACTTTCATGCTTGGAAGATGTGCTGTTAAAGAGGTAGAGATCTTTGATCATCCTCTGTTTGGAACTCTACTTATCTTGGAGTGATAAGGAAGTAGAAAGGGGTCAAATAGTTTTCATGATGACTGTTTTTATTTGAAAATCCTATGAGTAACTTGCGAGAGTAGGTACAGGCATCACCACACATCCCCTGTGTGCCATTTGGCTCATATTTCCTGATTGCTGTCTTGGGGTGAATTGTTCTGTTTATAGCTTTAAAACTGCTATCTGGGTGACAGTCTTCTGTTTCTAATCTTAAGATGGTTGTCTAGTGGCTTTGTTCCCCATGGTTTATCATGCAGCTTGATGGTACTTGGGAGAGAAATACAATTATCTAACTATGCACCTGCTCAGCCTACAGTTTTTATGAATATAACTTGAAGTATTATATATATCTCGAGGCTTGTGGTGAGAGAGCTTGGGATAAAGATTTTTCAAGACATTTTATAATACAAAAATACACCTTTAAATATTTTATATAGTTTATTCTATCATTTTTAAATATGTGTGTATGCATATTGTGTATGTACCTCACAATAAGGCTTTAAAGTTAAACAGGTGTAAATCCAAAATTTAAGTTTAAAGCATGTAAGAACAGTGGGAATTTGAATTTGAACATTAAGTACGGTCTCTAATTTCCAATACCTCACAATTTATGCATGATTTTTCCTCCTCTCACATCACAGTAATTCTTTTCTACTGCTTGTTTTGAGGCAAAACCTGAGTTCGGAGCCAGAATGGCTTGGAAATTCTTATATAGCTCAGGCTGGTTTGGAAGGCATGCTTCTCCCGAGAATCCCAAGTTCTGGGACAATGGATCTGAACCTCCTATTTTCATTGTCGTAACTTATATGATTGACACTGAGTCTAGATGAGACCTCATGATACATTCTAGAAGTTTCCAGTGGACATTTTACAAGTTGTTAACCCTAGAAATTGCATCATCTTCTTTATAAATTAGGGAGTTTTTGTTCAGTATCATTTCTATTATTATTGATATATGTACTAACTTTGCTAGAAAAAAATGTGGCGATTTGCAATATTCTTTGATATAAGAAATGCACAGGTGGTACCCTTACAAGTTAGGTTTACAGCACTTTGTTCTGACACTGGGCTCTCCACATGGTTGTGTTTTGGATGTTTTCTACATAGGACTATCTGACATTTATTTCTTGGATGAAGAGAATCTAATTCTCCATTATAAGAAAGACAGTCCCAAATATTTCAAGGCACTAAAACACATAGCTGCATTTGAAGACCAACTGTTAAGGAACTAATGAAGATCGTTGGTGGCTGGAGTCAGTGCATGACCATAAAGCAGGAATGCAGCTTTTACTGAGCAGGGGCACAGGGGTGGGTGGAGAATAAGAGAAGTTGTTAACCATCAAAAAAAAATAGATAAGACAGAAAATGCAACTTCTAGGGTAGCACTTCTCTGTAATAGTTGAATTAGTCTAGATTTTCTTTCCTTTTCTTTTTTTAAATTTTGTTTTCCTTATATGGATGGTCAGGACTATCTCAATAATATTTATTTCAAAAGAGTACGGCAAGCCAAATGAGTCAATATATGAAGAATATAATTATCTCTAATTCTTGTTATAGGGGATCTCAAACACTCTTCTGACCTCACAGGGACTAGGCACACATGTGAAATACTTGAAAGACAAAACATTTATCCACTTAAAATAAAGATTAAGATTTTAAAAGATGCTTAGTAATTTGATAAATGTTGGAAGTGATATAAACTAGCATGGTACTACTTGAAATTTCAATTATACCTTAAAACATAAGGAAGAGATTGTTCCCCTCTTTTCTTCAGTCTATCCATAGCTGAAATGCATGGTATCCTGACATGTTTCACCCTCAACACAGTTAATTGACAGTGATTGATACAGATGAAAAGGTCAAGGTCAAAACTTCCAAGGGTGGGTAAAAGTATATGTGTGTATGTCCAGGCAAACAGAAAGAGGTGTTATTAAAATAATATTTAAAGGGCCATAAGTGAACATGTTCAAGTAATTTTTTGTAATATATTGTGTTAAAAGGTTTTTGTGGTTGTTCCTTGGTTTACTTAATATTATGCATAATCAAATAAGTATAGCAGTGTGAAAGAATAATAGACTTCTAATGAGAGTTATTGGAACTGTAAAACTTTTACTCTTTGTAGACAAGAAAGGTTAATATTAAACTTTAATAGAAAAGGTATAATGAAGAGTTGGGAATGTCTACTATAACTCTCCTAGAGTTCCCTGGCCTTAACTCCATAGTTAGTTCCCAACTGAATACCTTACGTCTCTTCCCCTTCTGCAAGCATGGTGCTGCCATTTGAAGTCTTTGTTTAAAAATAGTCTTACCGTGAACTTCAAAGAAGGCAGAAAGAAACAAAATGTTATTTGGATTCTACCTATAAAATATTTTATATTCCTTTTATTCCCAGTGAAACAAACAAATTAAGCACATCCTGTGCAGACGAGTCAATAGGCATATGCCTGGATGGCGAAAGCATATGCAATGCATCACAGTCCAACCAACTAAAGGCTTCTGAAGAATAATCAACAATATTTCCAAACATGGACAAAAATAAAGCCATTTTCACATCTTCGGGTTATTAAATGCAGAACAAACCTTTCTCTTTCCCAGCTGATTTTTTCTTATTAAAAAGTTTTAGCACAGAAAGAAATTTTGTTTCATATTTTATTGAATTTCATTTATATTAAATTAAAAATATATTTCTGACAGATTCATGTAACAAAAAGGCAGAACAGTTTTCAAATTGTTCAGCTGGGATGATCAGTATGGAATGAGGCAAAGCTGTCGCATTCTATACGTGCCCTGTGCACGCACAATTCTTTCCCAAGAGCCAAAAGAGGATCCTTGAGAACTAACTCAAAAAACCTAATTACATCAATTTAAAATACAGTTTCTCCCTTGTCCTCAATAACAACAGAAAGTGGGGAAAAGTGGGAGAAGAGGTTGAAGGGTTGGAGGAGAAGAAAGAATAGGAAAATTATACTAAAAATATACCTACCATTAAAAAAGTTAGTATGTGTTAAGTGCACAATCCTTCATAGATAACATAGAAAAAATGAAAATAACATTTTACCACACACAATCGGCATATCCTATTGTGTAAGCGAGTGCAGAGGTTGGACACATCATAATAGTGCTGAACACAGAATCACAGGTAATGTCAAAAATGATAACTTCCAACCAAAAAAGAAACAATCACAAGCCAATTACTTATATACAAATCAACCCTAAAGACAATTATGTTCCAAATAAGATGTCCACAGAAGAAAATCAAAGCAACATTATCCTATTTACAAATGCAGCTAGCCATGTCTTTAACAAGCTATAAAAATACTATTCACATTTTCAAACATACAGTAGTACTTTTTTGTTTGTTTATTTCAAAAAGGCAGCTAACTTTGAATGCTGGGATTTAAATGAAACATTGATGGCTACCAGAAAGTTGTTTTTTGTTTTTTGTTTTTTTCAGTTAGGCCCTGTCCTTTGATGATACTTCATAGGAAAGAGAACTTGTTTTCTGTTTACAAGTCAGGCAAATAAAGAAGTGAACACAACTCTGCCTTTTCTGCAAATTGTCTCCCTTTATCACCCAAACTCCCTTAGTCAACTACTGTGATACGTGTGTGCATGGGATGAATGTTGAGAGATTTTATGTTACCTAGTTTTGTGTGTGTTCCATGAATGGTCTTGCACATGAATCTCCTTTACAGTTGATCTACTTCTAATGATACCCAGAACGAGATTGGTCAAGCAGCCAGAGTATGTGAAAATGTACTCATGGTGTGCGGCAACGCAGGCCTTGGAGCTCATGTGATGAGATGGACACAAGCCGGCCAGTAAGGTGTGCATTCAAAGTTAGCTGCCTTTGCACAGCTGCTCAGTTTAATAGTCGACCCATTTAACAGCAGAACCAGTTTATGCTACATATTTCAAAGTACCTTACTTTAAAAGAATGACTTACATATATCTACATTTAGAAAATTACTTTCATAGCTGATTACTGGAATAATTCCAAAAGGGTTCTTGGAGTGTTACAGTTGGTACTCTCTCACTCCCCACTCCCGCCCCTGAGAGATCCAGAACTATACAGGGATATGATTCTCACATGAAGGAAAATGGTACAACCCCTCCATGAACTGCAAAACACTGGAAATGAAACTTGAAAGTCAGGTTTCTGTCGATAGATAGGAGGTATGGTTTGTTTTTCTTCAAAAGGACAACAGGCCTGGGGGAAACACCAACACATTAGGGATAAAAATAGCAATAAAGACAAAATGGTTTGGACAAATTGGACTATTGCCTACAGGTGCGAAAACTTGTTTTCCTGCATTTGTATATTTATACAAATATAAATACTTCTCATAACATGGGGAAAACACACTAAAGCATTAAATGAAAATTTTCCTTATAGAGGAAAGTAGAATTCTGTCAGTCAACATGGACTTTCATTACAGTGAAACGGCGCTTATCATAAATTTGTTAGATGGATGGTTGTTCAACAAAAGTCAGAGGAGGTTCTTAAAGGTGAATTGCCTCTACTTTTGTGATAATAAAACTCTTCATTTGGAAAAGAAAATCTAGCAGCTGAAAAATATTTATAATCAGGAACAAAATAAGGTGATCAAAGCAAATAAGTTAGTTGGCAGCAATAACTTAGTTTTATATATATACATAAGAACTACATCTACACATACATAGTTTTCATGGAAAGATTAAATGTATGATCTAGAAGTGCATGTACGTACACACAATGTGAGTCTCCAAATTCACTACAGAGCTCACTTATCTTAAATACCTACAGAGAAGTCCATAGTGAGAGAATCAATTGTCATGGAAAAACAATTTTAACACCCTAAATAATTTTTGTGCTATCTTTTGTCTGAGAAGTAATTTCAATACCATCTAGAGTGGCTGAGTATTTTAATGGAAAAATCAGGCATTTGAGGGCGAAGGCTAGGTCAGTATTCACAGAGGAGGATGTGGGTCTTCATAGATCCACTATGGCTTAGGGAAGCAACAGCCTTGGGAGAGCCACTTTGAACTAGTGACAGGAACTCAAAAGAAGAAGGGCATTGTGCAAGTGGGGATGAGAAAGCAAAGGTGCCATTTCCCTCTAAGTTTCAGATGGAAATAAAATTTCCTGTTTCTCTGACAACGTGGTCACTTGCTTGCAACGCTGCCTTTCAAGGAATTTCCTTCCAGGGGAGGCATAGGGAATGCTCCTTGAAATTGGGGCTTATATAGTCTTTTCAGCCTATGACTCTAGAAGCATTTTCTTCTAACCCAGACCATCTCTTGGCTAGGAGTGAGGGGTGAGGGCAAAAGAAACATTCTATACTATTGTCTACTCAATCAGTGGGACTTGATCAGCAAGAGTCTGAAATTCTCACTATTTTGTGATGTCTTCACTGAATGCAAGGAACAGAGCAGCTCCTGATGTTGGAAGGTTTTCTATATGCAAGTACGAGGGCACCTGATCCCATACAATGCCCACAACAACTTTGTGTTCATAACAGCGCAGAGAACTCCTTCAAAGGCATCTCTGCTATTAGAAAAAAACTGTGTTGATTCTATTCAGACACATAAATGATGGCCTTATGTTAGGGTCAGCAAGAAGAAGGTCTCAACTGTCAATGGTCTTTTAAAATGGTGCCTGATTCACAATCACATTCACCTGTCATTTATTCTTGAGCCAATGGTCAGCAGGAGACAGCCACATGCCTTGACATGTCTACACGAGGACAAGACTGTGTCTGTCCTTCATTCCAGAGAGGCACAGCTGGGCTCTCTGTGCATGAACATGCCATAGAAATTGCTTTGTCTGGCTTTTTAACTGCTAGTAGCTATGCTGTTGGATTTCTCATTTGTCTCATAATGAACCAACAGTTAAAAGCTAGAATCCAAAAGAACACCTATTTAGTGTTTAAAATTCTTGCTTTAGAATCCATTTATCAAAAAAGGAAAAAAAGTTGGCAATGGGTTCTGTATTGGTTATGTAGGTAAGATGGCACGGTGGGAAAAGGTATGTCACAAATTGAACATGTTGTGTTTGCTTTCTAAAGATGACACTCATTTTGTTGTTGTTTGTATTGTATCTGTAAGAGGTGATACAGGCCCTTTTCATTTCCTTTACTCATTGGGAAAATCTCTTAACCTCAAGTGTGGCTTATTTGCCTGTTAAAGCACTTCCGATTGATGTATGCAAAGCAAACCCTTTTTGCATCCTCTTCATACTTAATACATCTAAAATGCAAAGAAGGAGTAGGAGAACAAGAGCAAACTCAACTGGAGTGCTTTAAAGCAAGTTTTCACAATTAAAACCACACTATGTCCACTATCTGCTAAACCCAACCAACAACCATTTTAAGGGGCAACTTATTTTTTTTTACTATGCAATACCCACCATAGCCTGAATTTTATTTGTTATTTTATATAACATGGTTAATTTTCTAGTTTTATTTCTTCTTACTATTAAAAAGCGTTTAACATTTGATAAGCTAACTAATTCTACATCTTACAGCATTGTCATGATTGTGTCCAGTTATACACATGCTTTCATGGTCACCTTTGTTTATTACCTTGTGAATTATGTATACTAGTTAAGTAATCAACAATACAGATGGGCAAATAATTCTAGTTTTTAAATAAATGTTAGACTGTTCAAAAGAATCTTGTATTTACATCCTTCTGTGTCAGACTTTTGCTTTGTCTTTCTAGTTTTGACACTTCAGGAAGCACATGGATCATCATCCAACTTCATCAATTGGCAAACCCTCATGTCCCTCTACTATCCTTTCCCCATCATTGACAAAATGCACCATTCTCAAAAGGTATTGCACATGACAATGACACACTAAAGGCTGCCCCCCCCATTTCTCCTTTCAAGTTAGAGCCAGTCAGTCCTTCTTCCTGACTTACAGAATTCAGACTCTTAATAAGTGTTTGATCTTTAGTTTTTTTTTTAACAGTTTGAAATTTGCATTACTTTCACAACTGCTTCAAGGATGCTTCTAGAGAGAGAGACCCACATCCTAATCTGCACTATTAAAGTAATTCTGGGGTCCTAATTCAGCCCTATGCTGACTTCACGGTTGACAGTGCAGAATCAACTCAGGTCACTACCAGGGAGCTTTGTTATCTTGGCCTCGCTTGAGTGGCAACATTTGGGTGACTCTGGACCACTTGTGACTTAGAGGACATCCTTCCTCATCCGCTTAAGAATGACTTCTTTAAATGACTATGTCACAAAAAAAGGAAAAAAAAAAGAAAAGCTACCCTTCCTGAAAGTTTATTTTCCCAAGATAAGTATGATCATTAAGACTTGATGACTTAAAAAATACAGTAAGCTTAATTTCCACATGAATTTTACTCAGTATTACAAATTGATTCTGCATATGCCAATTGATGCTGCAGATGACTGGCACCTGATACTCCATAGCAACTATCATCTTTCAAAATTAATTTAGGTGAAACATGTTATTCTCTTGAGTAAATGAAAGCACCCACCCCCCAATTCCTGCTTGTTGTCACCTAAATCTACTCTTGAATAATTTCCCTCTAGATAGTCAAAACTAAAACAAACAGGAAATACCAGAATTGAAATCAAGCATGTATTAGAAAGTCATAAAAGGGAAGGATTAAATGGCATTGGGGTCATTCTCAATTTCACCAGCATCTATCTCTAGGGGGAGATGCGTGGAACTGCCAATCTCATGCTTGTAAGGGAGAAAGAGAGCATTCACTGACTCTGTTTCCATTGCTTTAACAGTTAAGAGACTTCCTTGTTCCTTTAACTAATTAAAAGATCCTGCTTTTTTCCTCCCAGTAGAAGCCATATTAAGAGAAAAGGTCATCAAAGGTACTGCCTATATTGGGTAGGCATAGATTTATCCACTAACAAAGGCTTTCTTTCAACTCTTCCTAGGTGATAGGGACCTGTATAAGGTCCCTGTTCTTGCAGATCCCTCTGAATTGGGTTGGGGGGCTTTGAGCTTTAAATCTGTGGCCCTTGGATCACGCTGTGTCTTTATCTTTAGTAAATTTCCTAGACAAGATCTCACAAACCCTTGTCCTAACTCTAACTCTCACTTTCAGTTTGCTTCACTTTTCTTGGCTTAAGAGGCCAAACCCAACATTTTTAAGGGTTTTGGCCAAAGATCATCACTGGCTGCTGTTTTCATAGTAAGACTCTATATATGTCAGTTTGCCAGTAATGCAATGTTCTTCTGGTACAGTTTGTATCTGGATAAGAACATAGACGTTATTGTGTTTGTTATCTATATTAGTTTGAGGGATGTTTAATTTATGTCCCAAAGAGTTCTCAGAATTTTCACTAACAACCTGTTCTGCGAAGCCATTCATAAAATGGTGGATTTGACCTGGTTCCTTGGATTCATGGAGAAAAAAATGTCACAGCAAATATATTTTGACTGTTAAAATTTGAAGTCAGAGACAATATTTCATTTATCTGACTGCTTCCCATATGCGTTTAGCAGACTTTAAACAAATATCAATTGAATGAATCTAGATTTGGATGAACAGAATTACTTTTTCAAAATAGGTAGAAATGTAAACTTCCTTGAAAAGTTTTCTTCCTTAAGCACTCTCTGTTTTACCAAGAAGGTTTTTAAATTAATTGAATTTTTGGGCTAGTGAGTCTAATTTTTCTTAATGAAAAAACAATAGAAAGAAATGCTTAAAAATCTAAATGACTCGAAGAAAAATTTTGTAGAAAAGAGTGGTGTATTGCATTTTCTTATTTCCTAAAGATCCATTTGTCTTTGTGCCCATCACTCATCTTAACCCCATAGGTGTTCTTTTAAAATGAAATCTAATAGAGCTGGCTTTACAACCAGGATATAGGATGGTAGCATATGAAGTCATTACATAAATTATTACAAGAATAATGTACCAGATAATAAAATGATTGCATGAGAAGGGTTTTCATGTTTATTTACAACTCTTAACTCAATCATGGACCTGTTCATAGACATCAGATGTTTATGGTTTACTATTAAGTATAGCAACTTAGGTGTGAAGAGTTAAGCTACCTTCTACTCAATATAAACAGAGCCTCATACTAGAAATTCCATGGAATTCAAGCCAGTCCTTAATTTGCATTCCTTCACACAGAGAGTACAAACTTAACATACGTCCTTACACAGCAAATGTCATATAGTATGAAGATAATGTGCTGGCCCTCTCACCACAATCCCTGGGTACTGTTCCAAAGTCCTAGTTGGCTTGGTTTGGCATTTCCACAGTCTGTATTTATCTTAGATCCTCTTTTTTAAAAAATGTACTTAAATTAGTTAATCTGCTGGTTGCTTCCATATTGCTTCATTCAAAATCCAAAGTGGAGTTCAGAAAAAAGAGCAAAAATAAAATTAGAGCTTAAGTGCAAACTACATTTCTGAGTACCTTCCATGTAGACGTACCCAATCCAGTGTTTCTTCCACTACACAGATCCCCCATGGGACCACCCCTGAAAATATCAGTAGTTTTTCAAACCACACATAACTGTTTCTTAGCATCCCTTCTACTCTTAAGATTACCACTGCCTATCAAAGACAGTCATTTATGGAGAAGAATAAAATGCTAAAGGATGAAAATGACAGGGAAGAATAAACTCGTATTGTGATACATGAAATCTATATTTGATGCAATTTTTACTAGTATCTTGGCTTTCTCTTCCAATTTTAAGGATGGTATGATTTAAAATAATGGTCTCTACATCGTATAGTGTGTGTGTGTGTGTGTGTGTGTGTGTGTGTGTGTGTTCCAACACTGTGAAGAAGCTTTTATGTAAATATCTTTGCAACTAGAAACTACAGCCAAAAATAGGGGTGGAACTAATACAACGGAATGGGCTAAAGCAAACCAAAAAAGAGAAAACCAGAGATGCCTTCTAAGCATAATTACTAGTTATTACTATAATGGAGTTTTAAACATTAGGAAAGCTGGGTTGGCCATTTTTACTTGCCAGGAACGAAACTATTGGAGAAAGAAATTGGCTTCTCAATCTCAGTTACTATCAAGTGGTACCCAAATGTTTATCCTTTTGTTCTAATGGAAGCGTTTGTTTCATTTTAGGAATGCTGAGTATGCTCAAGTCTATGGCTGCAGACGAGAATAAAGTCTGGGCTTTCAATCATCTGCATTGATAAGGAAGGAAGGAAGGACGGAAGGAAGGAAGGAAGGAAGGAAGGATGGATGGAAGGAAGGAAGGAAGGAAGAGGGGGGAAGGAAGGGGGGGAAGGAAGGAAGGGAAGAGAGAGAGTGCAAAGGGAACAAAGCTGGTCTCTGACAGCAGGCAGTATTACCCTATATATTCTAGACCTTCTCTAGCTCTGACACTCTGTTGACCAACCCAGATGAAGAAACGAAGAAACAGTGTGTGTCCTGTCTTTCTCCTTTAGTCGTTCCTTCTAATGTTCAAGTTAGGTAAGCACGGAACTATCATTGCGTCTTTATATCTTCCATTAGGAAGTGTTGAAACTACTGGCCTTGGGAGAAGGAAGACCACCAGAGAAAGAGGAGGGAGTTGAGGGTGGGGAATGGAGTGGGCGTGTCTCTCCACCTAACACCCCAGCTGAGCTCACACCACAGTATTCCGGTGTCTGTAGGGTGGAGGGGGCAGCATAGTGCCTGGCTTCAGCGAGAACTCTGAGAGGTACTCAGGATTCTCTGCCACAATAGGGCGGATCCGTCCGTTCTGTTTATAAAAATATTTTGTGCTGTATTCCTGCAGGTAGTCTGGGTGCTGAAGGGTGCTCCGGGGTGGCAGGCTGTGGTTCCAGTAGTCGGGGTTGTCGAATGCTTTCTTGGCTTTCTCGGGTACAGACAGTACGCTGTTCTTCAGATACTCTGTGTTCCCCAAGGCGTTGGCAAAGGTGTTAAGATAGAGCGGCTCATTCACATACTCATCCTCCGCCTTGGGCGGCCCGCTGGAAGCGCTGTGATACTCCGGATTGTCTAAAGCTTGAGGGTCTCCATTTTTTCTCCGTGACACAAAAGGGTTTTCTTCCACAGGATTCAGATATTCTGAAAGAATAAGAAAAATGCCGTCTAATAGACATCTGCTTTCAGAAACCCGTTAATCTGACTAAAGAGCAACTGTTAGGTTTCTTTAGGACAAGGGAAACAAATTCGTTGTCATAATTTCTGAAAACCAAATGAAGCCTGCCCATAACTTCAGTGGGATCAAGCAAAACAGAATAGTAACAAAAACTTAGCAAAACAAGCCACGGACAAGGACAAGATCAGAATCCTAATCTTCTAGATTGTTCTTTTCTAAATGCACCTACATGTGGCGCTTGCTGTGTTAATGCTTCTGTTTATGCGGCTGCCAGGGTTAAACACCCTTTGTGGGCTGGAGAGATGGTTTCATGGTTAAGTACTTGCAACTTTCACAAAATGGCCATAGTTGGGATCCCAGGCTCCATGTTAGCCACTCACAAGCACCTGGAGCTCCAGGCCATGAGTGCCAAAATGCATGTGAACACAGACATGGGCACACAGACACACAGACACACAGACATACACACACACACACACACACACACACACACACACTTAAAAACAAGTTAAAATCCCTCTCATCTATCTATCTATCTATCTATCTATCTATCTATCTATCTATCTTTTATCTTCCTAATCTATTCTCGACTATAGTTATCAAAATCCTCATTATACTAAGCTAGGTCATTCACATTATGTATTCAGGGATCATTAGCCTTTGTTTCATAAAAGGTGAACAGAGACATATAAAGGTGAGATAATGGGGTTTCACACAGTCTTAACATATGGCCTGCTGCTGATATTGACAGACATCATCATGATCATTATTTTCAATAACAATTATTCATTGTCTCTGTTATTTGGCACTGCTAGTATAGAGGGAAAGAGGGATTTTATGTTGTTTGATTTTAATACTGAAATGTTATATAATGTGGGTATTTAACCTTTCTTTAACTTTTAAAAAGCTATTAATTCACAAATCATCATCAAGATGGTGATATGCAATATAGAATCAAATTTTACTTTTGAAGACTCACTCACAAAAATCATAGTTTCCTGTGATAAACTTATTTTGTGTGTTTGCTTTTCATTGTTGTTTTGTTTTGTTTTGTTTTGTTTTTGGTGATACTGGTGCCGGTCTAAATCTAAGTTCTCTTGTGCACTAAGGAAGCACTCTCTAAGGATTCACATCCCTAATGCCAGGCTAGGTTACTGAAATTACATGTTTTAAATAAATCAACTCTTTTATTGTTGACGTCAGAAGCTTTGGTCCTTTGCTGGTAACAACTGTCTTTACAGCCTCCATGGGAACTTCAACACAGCAGTGGTTCTGAGACCCTGTAGTGTCATACTATGTTATTCAACTATTTCAATAAAGATGGGTTGGTTGGTGTTTCTCAGGTTTCCTTGTGATTATATGTCACTTGAGGATTTTGTTAAAAATCCAATTTCTTGTTCAGGTGGAGCCTGAAATTGGACTATTTAAAGAAATACTTAGGTACCCAGATGCCACTGATTCAGGAAACTATTCTGTTATAGAAGTGGCCTGGCCCTTTTCTATGATAGATCGCAAATGCCACACCTTCCCTCTGTCTGGAAAGTTGATTTCTATCTCCTGCTTGTTTGACGAGGTGATCATTGAACACAGTCACTTCTGAATATTCAGCTTGTACCTTGTTTGGGTTTGTCACGCATGGGAGTCATGTAGCCTTCTTCGTCTAGTTCTCCTCGTGGGTTCCGTTCTGGGGCAAACACGGTGGGGTCAGCACTGTATCTCTGTGTGCTACTGTCCTCTTGGACATGGGGTGCCACTGGTTTGCGTAGGGTACCATTGCAGCAGGAGTCATCAAACATCTCAGCTGTTGCACCCTGAGTGACTGGAGCTTCTGGTATGGTGTTGGTTGTGGCTCTGTAGGGCATGGATATTCCTTGTTGTGTAGCAAAGCCCCCATCCTGGTACACAAACTGATTCTGTTAAAATAGCAGAAACACATTGGGAGAATCATTGGTTAGGAAGAATTGTAAAAGGATACTAAATGTCATTAGCCAAAAAGATGCCAAACACATTGTTTTTCAAGTTTAGTAGTTAATGATTTTTATTTTCCTAGGGGGCTAATGAATTTGAAGTAAATACTAGAAACATTTAAAATCCTATTTTACACACACACACACACACACACACACACACACACACACACACACACATTCATGTGCATGTATGTGTGAGTGTAGGTGTACATGCATGTGGAGGCCAGAGGTCAATTTTGGGTGTCTTCCTTTATATCCCTCTATCTTAATTCTTGAGAAGGAGTCTCTCACTTAATTTGGAACTTATCAATTTGCCTATACTGACTAGTTAGGAAGCCCTCAGGATTATTTTTCTGCCCCTTCCTAGTGCTGGAATTACACTGTACAGTTCTTCGCTATACTGGTGTGGCAAGCAATTTTCTGACTGAGCCATCTTCTCACCTCCTCCATCCTGAATTTTTCTTAATAGGTAAAAATCATGCAGAAATAATTTAAAATTTTAATTTTTAAAATTACTAAGTTAATAGAGTGTGATCTAATAAAAAGACGTTGTGTTCTTTCTATACAATTGCCAAATATTGTTATGAAACTCAAAGTAAATTTTCATGACAAATGGTCTTAAGTGCAGAAGTGCAGTGAAACATTGTGAATGGAAATGACTTTGAGTGTCCAGTACCTAACAAAAGGACAGGCACTGAGGCTCAGACTTTATAGCACATGACCTGCCATCATGAGACTGAAGATAAAATCTCCACCCAGAAGCATAATTCATGAACTGGGTAAGTCCGTCCAATAAACCCTGAAAGCCCCTGTTGATGTATGATGTCTCAGCTGCGGATTATCATCTGAGATACAGACATCTACACAGGTAGCTACAGAGTCTATAGCCAGTTCTTGATTCACTGTTGGCAAAGGCAAAAAAAAAATGAGGAAATTATAGGGAGACAGGAGAAAAAACATGGTTAAGAGGAGACCAAAAACCCTAAAAGATGAAGGCTGATCATGAAATACTTACTCCCGACATGGGGGTGTAGGCAGGAGGAGGGCTGTGTCCAATTTCACTCTAATAGGAAAGAAAAATGGAATGATGGATATAATAAGAAGCAACATGGATGAAAATTTAAAAAAAAAGAAAAGAGAAAGAAAAGATACGATATGCATGCGCCAAAGGGGAAAGCGCGCAACAGTGATATTTTTTTCCTAAGTAGTCAAATTGTGTTCATTGTCACTACAAGCAAGTAAATTTAAACACTAATTCTCCCCAGGCAAAAATTTTAATGATTTAAATATAATAATACTGATGTAGAATTGTTACTTTTCAGATTAACCATAAAAGATAGGGGAGGGGAGCCAGAAATAATGAAACTGTGTTTTAAAATAAAGGATAGTTTGTTTTTCACATATCAAAAGACCAAAGAGCTTCATGCTACTTAGTACCATTACAAGACACCAGTTTGTTCCCTTACAAGAAAAAAAGAGTGTTTATGAGGAGGTAGAAAGTAGATTTCAATTTGTTTGAAATATTTTTTCTTAAGCTACATTTATTTTCACCACTTCAGCAAAGGCCACTCAGTCTCTCCTTATAAAAAAGTCACATATTATTGCATCTTCCATCTTACTTCTTAGAAAAGGAAGAAGCAGAAGAAAACTTGAAAAATAAATTAATTCCTGGAAACATACTTTCTATTCCTTTTATGTAGTCAGACTCACAACAAGGTTTTGAATAAGAAACCAAAAAAGTCTATATTTTCATAGCTGAATAGTCTATCCTTTGGGCTACATGGAAGTGAAGATAAAATATGATAAACTGTTAAGGATACTGCTCCTTAGGTAGAGAAGGGGAGCTGTATGAACCCCAAGTCTGTTCCTTAATATAAAAATATATATTCATTCATCATTTTTAAACACACTGAGAATGGCTTTCTCTGTGAGAATTTCTCTCCTTTTTCTGGTATTGAGGATAATGAATAGAGCAGGCAAAAATAGCTGTGTTTATGGTGCAGCACTCTACAGCTGATCTCAAGCCAACAGGGATGACAAGAGATGCCTTCCAGCCACATATAACATTTATATGAAACACCTGTCATCTCACATCAGTGTTCCTACAACTCTGAGATTCACAAAGCAATCTCAAAAGATTGTTCTATGAATAACAACTATTTAATGTAAATCAATAGCAATTGAACATTGCAATTTCACTTAACAAATGCTTTTTGCCAGACTGATCAAAGAACAAGGCCTGTAATGAATTTATACTGTATTTCACCCTGCAGTTATGACAGCATGGAGAATAAAGACCATTTCCTTCTCTAATTACACATTGGGGTGAGGGAGGCCAGGAAGTATTTGTCAATCTCTGCCTGCCCATTTCACTTAGAATAGCATTTCTAGGTCCACCTGTGTCTTTTCAAATGATAAGTTCTCACCTGTTTTTATAGTCAAATAGTATTCATTGTGTATATGCTTCATATTTTCTTGCTCCATTCAGCCGCTTATGGGGATTATTTTTATAGATATATTTAAGATTCAATGCACAGGAGTTGTTATTATACTATGCACATACTATTTTGTTCTGTTAGAAATTTTAGGTTTCAGGACTAATCACACATGCTCAATTGTAAAATATGTCAGACCCGCAGTTTTATCCTTGATCTCTACTTTATTCTTTGGAATGACAAATTGTGCTCTGCTCCCTTATATAAATGTATACTATATATTATGTGAAAGTATATGTGTCAGTTAATCAGAGCTCTTAAGTCACACAGCCGTTTCAAAGATATCCATTAAGGATGCATTTTTAATGCCTGTCTGTTCTCTTAAGCATCATAAACATAGGCAGATTTTGCTGTCCTTTATAAGGACAGATAATCAATTCTATTTGTTCATAATATTTGAGAAAGTAATATTTTATACAGTTCAGTGATTTGTAAAATTGAGGGGTGGCACAGATAAAACATGAGAACTGCCTCAGTTTGTGTTATAACATTTCAAACCCCAGACTTATCATCAAGCCCTGATTAATCAGCAAGTTTAAACACATATTAATTAAATCTTAACAACAAAACCGCTGGTCACTGTTACAGATACTAGAAATATGATGGCATACTACAGGAGACATGAACACTGTCTGACCTTTGGTGATTTATACTGAGCTATCAGATATTGCCCGAGATTATGGAAGTAGCAATGAACAAAAACAAAAGAAAACCAAGGCTCAAAAGAATGATGTTGCTGGTGAAAGCACATTCCATGTCTGCAATTACATATCAGAAAGTAAAGTATTCCAAAACACTACTAATTACCTGTGTTCCTTTGATATCTTACTTGGCAAAAATGCCTGTACTCTATAATGCTCGATTTGAATCACAGCTACAGCTAGCGTTGATTGTGCATTTTGTACTTTTTTTTTTCCCTGAACTTGAAAGATGAATGATCAAAGTACTAACTCACAAGCCATTCTCAGTGAGGAAACAGTTCATTATCTATCTTCGTTATCTGGGATAGAATGCCTCCAGTTGTAAAGGTGGTGTGCCACGACTAACTGGACTTTGCAGTTAGCTTGTTCAGAGACAAGAAGCTCTGTCTGATAGAATGCATCCACTGTCCCTGCTTTGACAAGTCTCCCCATCAGCAACCTGCCAGCTCCCTCTCTGGACACTGCCAAACAGCAAACAACACCACAGTAATTCAGTGTCTTCATACTTTTTTTTTCTTCTTCTTCCCGTTTTCAGCATTAAAATGAAAAGAAATTCTACACAAAACCTGCCGCGTTCATTGTTTTTAGGGTTACTGTTGCTTTTTATGTTTCTGTTTCCATTTTTCTTTCAGTTTGCTTTTTTTTTTTAAAAATCTGGTTTCCATGATAAAAAAGCACATCATTCATTTCCCCCATGGAAGGGCAACACAGCTCCAAGGGAACATCTGCGAGGCCAATTAGCTGGGCTGGGAATGTGATATAATGGTTGTTTAAATATATTTAAATTACATGTTAATCACTATGTCATAATTTATGGGCTTTGAAAATAACTTTCTGTACTACAGAGCCAAGCCAGATTTGACTTGCTTTTTTCTGTTTTTGGTTTGGAACAAGTGCTGCGTTTCCCCTTCTTTCTTAATTCCTCACACTGGACTAGCTGAACTTTTAATACTGGAAAGAGTGACAGCTGCAAGTAGATCGGATGAGTGAAAATTAAGATCCTCGCCACACAGCCGGATTGAGCTGGAGTGACCTTATAGTCCTGAGCGGAACAAAGCTTTGCTCCCAGTTAAAAGGCTTTGTTTTCCCATTGCGCCACTGTCGGCTGTCCATCAAAGTCTGGCTTTGTGGATCCTTGGGAAGCAGCTCCAGGTGCACTCATTCAATTAGCTGGTGAGAGGATTTACTGCCAGCAGGACAGAGATAGAAAGAGGTGGGTTAGGAACCGTGAGGGATGAGGAGCCTGTTCGTGGTGGGGTGTTTGGTAAGGGTGATGGATAGAGGAAGTGTAATGTTGTGACCCTATCATTGGGACATTGGATGATTGACTGGAACCCAAATGTCATGGGTTATAGTGAAGGCGAGTCTTAGCAAACGTAAAAAATGTAGTGTTAAACACACTTTTGAAAGCCTTATAGTTAACCTTACAGTTGAACAACGCATATTTGAACTTTGTATGATTGCGTGCACAGCATTAATGTTTATATTATTTGATACTGATCCTGATAAAATTTAAATAACCAGTTAGACTATGATTTGTGCTTTAAAAATTATCATTGCAATGTATGTTCTTAGAAAACAAAAACAACACATGTTTAAATACTTAGAATATATCTAAATTATACACGTGCTTAATGGGATTTTATTTCTAAATAATTGCAGCTTTTGACAGCAGGTACAACAACCTGTAGCAGTTTCAAGTGCCAGGAGCGTAAACCCTGCCATAAGAGATAGAACGTGTCTGTAAGACATTGCTAACCCATCTTATCAACGAGACAACTCCACATAGTAACTCTAATGGAGTCTCAACCTTCTACCCTTCCAGGCCTGTACGCTTAACAGTCTGATGGGCATTTCCACTTGGTCTCAGGTCAGACATTAACTCAGAGAAAATGTTTTTCATGGTGTGCAGTTCGTGGTATGCAGCTGTAATGTTCCTTCTTCCCCACAAGTTCATGTACTGGTATCTTGAAAGTTTCCATATTTCAGAGGGTGAACAGAAGAAAACTGACAAAATGTGCCCATATGGGAAAGGCCTATTGGGATTTCAACTGCTGTCTATGATTATATATGTTTATAATCCGTATCAGCTATCTACATGTCTATTATTTATCATTTATTTATTACCTATATAGCAGCAGTATATCTATTATCTGTGATCTATAAATCATCTACCTACTATCTATCTGTTATCTATATATCACCTATTTAGCATCCATCTGTTATCTATGATATAAATATATGTTGTGTCTATGTCTCTTTATACCACATCTAATATCTTTCATCTATGTACATGTTTATTTACTCATGTACTCACTTGTCTGTCTCATTTGAGTTAGTAGGACTTTTGTTCCATTTACCACATACAAAGTTAGTAAGTATTCTGTGATCCGATTAAGGGACTATTTACTTATGCTCTTGTTCTTTATTAACTTTTTAGCAATCTTAGAACTTTTAGTCTTATCTATCTAATTGGTGAAAAGAATTTTAACAAAAGAGAACTGTGAATGATACCATTAAGTATGAGTGACATAAACACACAATGTAGATTATATGTATTTTTTATTCTTCACTCAAAAGTCCTTTCTTGATGTGAAATCATGTTGCATATACATGCATTTCCCTACCATTCCCAAAGTCAGCCTTGAAGCAAGAAAAAACACAGGGATCCCCATGCCAGCACTTCTGTACTAATTTCCTGTCCTTAGTGCAGGCCTTAGTAGGTTCCTCTTGCTGGCAGTCCCTGGGTAATAACTCATTGTATCCCACACAGCAATCACTACAGTCTCTCCATTTTCAGTGTGGTAAGTAATACAAGGTACTGGAGACTTTAAATGGTAGAGGTCTGTGGGAGTCCTTTGCTCTTC